GGATTGTCACCTGTGGACGTTTTAAATGGTTTTACATATTTGTGCAGAGGTATAGCCTCTAAAGAAAGGTTGTCTCTGCAATGGAAATAGTTGTTCCTGGTGATTGGACATGGCAAGCAAAATTGGACTCGTATCCAGATGTATTTTACTTTTTATTAAATAGTAATTCTGCCAGCCCTTTTCTACAAAGATTAACTACTTATATTAATGATCAAAATGATGCCTATATTGCAGGCTAACATAATAAATGGTCTTCCAAAATGAACACTTCCATTTAATAAGTTAAATGGAAGTGTTCAGTTAATTCTGAAGTATTATTTCAGTATTATCAGTTCAATTAATTATGAAGTATTATCTGAGAAGTATGCAATTTATGCCTATTGATAAAGTAATTGTCTGAGTTTCATCTCTCATCTGAATTCAAATGTCTTGTCATCTACTACCTCTAGAAAGTGTCATAAATGAATATTTCTTTGTAGAAAAAAGCTGGCAGAATTACAATTTAATAAAAAGTAGAATACCTTGTAAAGTACTATTTTTAACTTATCGCTCTACAACGAATTTCGTTCTGGAAAGAGTCAGTACCTAACAGGTACTTTACGCGGGTTCACGTTTGTTAGTTTGCCAGGCCTGGACTTTTCGCGTGCACCAAAATAAATTAAAGACAAGTTAGTCAAAATCGATAAAAGTATTTAATAAAGATCTAGGAATAACTATTTACAATATTTATAACAAACAACAAATTTATTCAATCAAATAAAATCCAAAGTCAACCTGACAAAATTCAATCTTATTCTAACTTAGAACTATTCCCCTTGGAATTCCGACAAAATCAATCCTTAACTTAAGGTACAGAAATTCTTACAACTACAAATCCTAACCGTCACCTCTGTCGTCTTCACTTGAGCTACGCTATTTATAGTCTGAGGTAACGTCACAGTTTCTAAGTGAGACACTCCCCTCATTTACATACTTACACGTAACATTCACTTTTTTCTTACTTATCTGGTAGCTTAATTCCCGACAATACTTTGTTAACCTTTTACAGTTTTTTCTTGAACAATTATCGGGATGTTTTCTTTAAGGTTTAACAAGTCCCTAAAAGTCTGTAGGGTCTTTCCCCCCTTTTCAGTGCGGGCTTACTATCTGCTGCTTGGGCGTGCACGTGAGTGCAATTGCTAGCTATGATGCTTTCGCTGCGTCATCGGTGAGTTGGTTTTATCTTCTCTTTTTAACTTTCTAAGGTGATGGGTGAGGAAACCTTCGTTCTAACTAAACATAAGCCCCAAACAAAATATAATAAAAGCAAAATTAAAGTAAAATAAAAATAACGCTCGGACTTGGTTCCTTACACCATCTGGATACCAGTCCAATTTTTCTTGCCACATCCAATCACTAGGAACAACTATTTCCATTGCAGAGACAACCTTTCTTTAGAGGCTATGCCTCTGCACATTTTAAACTCCTGAGGACATTTTAAACTGTTTTACATATTTGTGCAGAGGCATAGCCTCTAAAGAAAGGTTGTCTCTGCAATGGAAATAGTTGTTCCTGGTGATTGGACATGGCAAGCAAACTTGGACTCGTATCCAGATGCATTTTACTATTTATTAAATAAAAGAATATNGTGGACATTTTAAACTGTTTTACATATTTGTGCAGAGGCATAGCCTCTAAAGAAAGGTTGTCTCTGCAATGGAAATAGTTGTTCCTGGTGATTGGACATGGCAAGAAAAATTGGACTCGTATCCAGATGCATTTTACTATTTATTAAATAAATGAATATGTTAACTTACAACAGAAAAGGTGCTTTGTGTTCTGCAGTTTGCAAAGTTAGAATCACTCATCTTTGTGCAACAAGAGTAATTGCAGGAGCTGCAGAATTTATATACAGTAATACCCGAGTTTTCATTGATTTTTTTTTGCAAAAAATTTGTCTTGGTATTTATTTGTCGGTATGCCCCATATTTCGTTGGCATGCCCACGTGACCTCACTGCTAATTTTGCAAAAACATAAGGCAACCCACGCGCTTTCCTACTCAGTATGATGATCTTTCTCATTATGCGAGCATTACCTCATGCCTCTAGCCAAACAATTCCATTGCTTTCATTTCCTTTTACCTACATCACGGGACCAAAGAAAGCCAGCAGCCCTTCAAATGCCATGTTAAATGCTATGTAAAATGTTCATTTATTCTTTACATTAGTTTTTTTTAATATTCATTTTATATTAATTTCTTATTGTTTTCAGTATTAAACACAATATTTATTCTCTATTAAATGTGTTTTTGGTATGTATTTTGGAGTGTATAGAACAAATTAATTGGATTTACATTGATTCATATGGAAATAATTGCCTTGGTTTTTGTCAGTTTAGGATTTTGCCAATTGTTTTCAGATGATTATCGACAAAAATTGAGGTATCACCATATATCAACATCCTGAAGCCTGATATATTGATACTAATCCAAACTCTCACCATAATTAATTGGGCTATTATTATACTATAATTAATAATTAGTTTCTAGCATGATAATAGCCTGATTAATTTTGGCAAGAGTTTGGATTAGCTGTAGAATTGTGGCTGCTGTAAAAGGAGTAATAACAGATATGCTGTAATGAGCATAGGAAGAATTTGAGTATCTGATGGACATCACGACCTCGAGTGCGCCATCCACTTCTCTCGTTCCAATCACCCTGCTATCTGCTATCCCTAATAAATTAAAACTTCTTCCAGCCTGAGCATACCGATTTAACAGTCTATACTGATGGGTCTAAATGTAACAATAATGTTGGTAGCGGTTTTGTCGCCTACCTAAACAACACCGAAATTGCGTCTGAGCGGTACAGACTTGGTGCAGACTGTACCGTCTTTCAGGCGGAAATGTACGCGATAAGCATGGCCGTGGCTTGGACTGCCTCGAACTATGATTCCCAGACTGTTACTATCATCACCGACAGCGAGTCCTCTATTGCAGCCTTAAAAAACCATTGTGACCACCCCATCTCCACCAGCATCCATAGTGACATCAACAAATCCAGCAACATTTACTCCATCTACTGGACTCGTGCCCACCAGGGCACTCTTGGTAACGAGAGGGCCGATGAACTCGCAAAGAGCGCCTGTGAAGACAACAACCTTCCAATTGTCTACAGCAAGATCAATATTAAAACTATAAAAAACATCATTCGCAACGACCTCCTCGATCTTTGGCAGGAGGACTGGGACAGACAAAATCATCCCATCACCCATCAACTCATTCCTAACATCAAGACCTTCCTTGCTATCCCCTGGTATAGACCGACCCAACGTACCAGCCAATTTCTTACCAATCACGGACGCTTCTATTCCTACCTGGCTAGATTTGTTAACTCTCCAACCTTCAGCTGTTCCCTTTGCGATGTCGAAGACGGCTGCCTTCACTATCTACTCACCTGCCCAATGCTTGAGCTTGAGAGACACCTTCTTCGCACCTCCATGGAGACACATGGTTATCACTGGCCTGAAAACCTCCACGGAATTATGAACAATAGTGACACCTATGCTGCACTACTTCACCTCATTGACATGTACTTTAAAAGGACTACTGTTGCTGCTTTCAACTGAAACCTCACTTACTGTGTTCTGTGCNGATGAAATCTCTATTGAGATGACCCTGAAAATTGCACTCTGGCTAATTAAAAAATGCCACCAATCCATACTGATCCAAGATAAAGCAGAACTGTTGAAAAAATAGACTGTGATGTTCCAATGTGATATCTATGGTATTGGTTCATCAAATGTTTATGATATAAAGATGCAAAAGAGTACTAATGTCTTAATGTACAAGTACAGTACTGTATTTTATTTATTTGCTTATTTAATTTACATTTAATATTTATTTAAGTTTTTAGCAGTCCCTGGTATACTTTAGACCAGTGCTCCAAATCTTTTCTCATGCACAGCATATTTAGATACTTCCCAGAATTCCATGGCACACCACAAATAAAAATATGCAAAAAAATATAGGAGTTACAAGTACATACAAAAAAATAAAAAAATACTGATTTACTGTTTTTTTACTTGTGATAATATAAAAATATTTGAAATTAGTTTCTAATTAATTTTCTTATTCAATTTTATTTCTTAACAATCCAGACACCAACCTGTACAAAGTATCACATAGTCCTATTGGGTTGTTCGAAAAGAAATTTCGTTTTTTATTACTAGAGGAATTAAATGTATTTTTACCAGCCAATTTCATTTTAAACCACATTTTCATTATACATTTTGACAGCTGACATTTAAAGGCTTATTTGTAAAAAATTTTGTTTGATTCTGTACAATTTTTTTTTTCAGTGTCCCATCAAATATGGAAAATCAAAAGCATCATTTTCGGCATATTTTAATCTTCCAAAAGGAATGTTTTCTTAACCCCTTCTGGGTTCTTCTTCAGGTAAATCAGCTGGATTGAACATGAATACAAAAAAATTTGAAAAAATCTGAACGCTGTTGAGTTTGAATTGTTTGGTTCGTTTGTGTATTCCGTCACATGACATGTTTGGAAGTGCTCGAACTTAACGATCAAAAACACAAGAGAAGGTTATGCCAAAATACATAACATACGTGATAATGAGATAAATAAAGTTTGGTAACTCGTCAGAAACTGTTACAGCTTAGATGGGATGTGCTATCACACCAACCATATTCGCCCGATCAGGCACCCTCAGATTATTACTTGTTCCGATCTTTACAAAATTTTTTAAACTGCAAGACGTTTACTTGAAATGAAAATGTCAAAAATTACTTAGATCCATTTTTTTGTAAGCAAACATCAAAACTTTTATAAACGTGGAATCATGCTACTAACAAAAACAATGGCAACAGGTATTTGACCAAAATGGTCGATATATAATTCAATAAAATATTTATTTATTATAAAAATATTATGTTTTTTTGCCATGGAAAAAAACGAAATTACTTTCTGAACAACCCAATGCATTAAATCTCTTAAACATACCTTTTTTCAATAAAAATGCTCTTTTCTGAGAAAGTGGACTAGATCTCACTTTTGAATTTCTTAAAAAATGAACAGCAGTATTTACCTGTAAAATTATAAAATTGTCTTATTTAACATCATTTAGATTCAAGAAAAAAAAACTGTAAAGAAAGAATAAAAAAATATAAATTAAAAACAAGTCTTTCAGATAAGATGGCACAAGGAACATTCATAACTTCAATTTTAGAAACACAAACATTTTTTTTTATTCTAAAACATTTATGAAAATCAATAAAATATTCTTTATCATACCAAATTTTCTCTTAATACTGGTACTGTCTCTGATATATTGTTGTTCTCACTGGCATTTGTCTGAAATATATAATTATTATTATTAGAAACCATGTATCATCAATAATATTTCATACTCCTATATATAATTCATAATAAATTAAACAAAATATTCCCTATTAACTATTCTGCCATAATTAACAAACACATATATAACAGATACAGAATAAACAAGCAATTTTTAAAAATTTGATGTTTCATTTGCAAGAAAAAAGTTAATCTTTGTAAGCAATCAGTGAAGACATATCATTACAGTGTATCAAAGTTAGTGCTGAAAGTGGCCAAATTTTATAAAAATATTAACAAATCTTATACATTAATAGTGATTTTAGTGAAATGGGCTATCTGTTCTGTACTTAAAAATTTATAATAGTGTATTCTGCCAGATAATTTCATCCAATAAAGTTATTTATATTCATTTAATCTTCTATTAAGTACCTTACTTAAAATTGTTCTCTTCTTTCAGGTAAATTGATTGAATAGACCCTGATTTAAAGAAAAACAGAAAATGTTAACTGTTAACAAACTGATAAACAATGAAAGGACTTTCTTTCCATAATATACTATTCATTTACAGTCTTTTTGACTCCTTGAAAGTCACAATATGGTATAAAATTTGCTCATTTGAAAGTATTGCAAATATTTTCATGGCCAGAATTGATGAGAGTTAATCTCCAGCAAAGAATATAGTCTCTGCTAAAAATCAACATAGATACTCCTCAAAAATAAATGCATGCACCCACATGCACATTATAGGACCAGGGGACCTATTCTGAGCTCTTCCGATAACTCAACGAGAGCGATACACGGGTCATTCGATAAGTCCCTTTAGCGAAAGGCAGTTAACGAACCTTACACAAATTGCTATTCTGAGCTCTACGTTAAGTGGGTTTCGCTAAGGGTAGTCGGTCGAGATGCGTCTGGGTTCCACGCTATCGATAGCTATTACGCTTTNTCTTTCAGGCGGAAATGTACGCGATAAGCATGGCCGTGGCTTGGACTGCCTCGAACTATGATTCCCAGACTGTTACTATCATCACCGACAGCGAGTCCTCTATTGCAGCCTTAAAAAACCATTGTGACCACCCCATCTCCACCAGCATCCATAGTGACATCAACAAATCCAGCAACATTTACTCCATCTACTGGACTCGTGCCCACCAGGGCACTCTCGGTAACGAGAGGGCCGATGAACTCGCAAAGAGCGCCTGTGAAGACAACAACCTTCCAATTGTCTACAGCAAGATCAATATTAAAACTATAAAAAACATCATTCGCAACGACCTCCTCGATCTTTGGCAGGAGGACTGGGACAGACAAAATCATCCCATCACCCATCAACTCATTCCTAACATCAAGACCTTCTTTGCTATCCCCTGGTATAGACCGACCCAACGTACCAGCCAATTTCTTACCAATCAGGGACGCTTCTATTCCTACCTGGCTAGATTTGTTAACTCTCCAACCTTCAGCTGTTCCCTTTGCGATGTCGAAGACGGCTGCCTCCACTATTTACTCACCTGCCCAATGCTTGAGCTTGAGAGACACCTTCTTCGCACCTCCATGGAGACACATGGTTATCACTGGCCTAATAACCTCCACGAAATTATGAATAATAGTGACACCTATGCTGCACTACTTCACCTCATTGACATGTACTTTAAAAGGACTACTGTTGCTGCTAAATAAAGAACTCACTTACTGTGTTCTGTGCCTTTATTGCACATCATCCTGATATTATGTATTTTTATAACTGTATTACTAACCTGAGCATCTCATATCACTTATTTTCGCATCACTGTAATGATATGTAATTATCTATGCGTATATTTTGTACAAATTATATGTATGTATAATTCTTCTTACTGCTATGTACCCATTAATTTTATTGTCTCATATTTCATACCTTTATATTTTTATATCTTTATACTTTTATATTCTCCCATTTTCCCTATTCCCTTATTATGTATTTTATCCTACTAAATGTATCGTTATTATGTAACCATCAACTCCGCTTTTCACCTGGCTATATGTATACTCAATACTCAATATTCTTTATTTAGCACTAATTGGTGCATTCTCAGCACCGTATGATACATAGCTGAGAGTTTTCCTGTACAGTTACATATTATAGTACATATTATATTACTTATATGATACATATAGTATTGCATATATATTATGATGTTACATGATGTTACATATATATTCACGTAACATTATATTTATATATATGTACAAATTTACTAAACAGAAATAAGCAGATATATTTATACATTTATACATATTTAAAATAAACAAAATAAAAGTACTTAACTTAATTAAAAACTAACTTAACCTAAATATTACAATCAGTCAGTTGTTTAGCCTGTTATTGAGTCCAGTATAACACTATTGACAACCATCGAAGTTCCTGTTTTCAAGAGATCCTGTTGTACAAAATAATTTAACGAATAGTCAGCCTTGTGCACTTTAGCAGTTCTTGCACTCAGCTGCAGATGAGATGTTACGACACATTATCTTCTAGGAATTTCTAATATTCTGCATCGTATTGACAAACATCCTTTGTCGTTTGAACAGAAATCACTTGCTTCAGCTGTCATTGTCACTTCTAGTTGCTGCCAAGTATCTCCGCTGGTATCCAATAGTATTACAGAAAACGTTTTTGCATATTGTTACTGTGATTTAAATTTTT